CCATAGCCTGCAGAGGACCTAGCTCAGACTCATACAGGCTCTGTGATTGTCGCGTTAGTCTCAAGAGTATGAGCTCTGCTTGGTTGATTATGTGGCTGTGTTCTCATGGTATCCTTGACCCATTTGGCTCCTACAATCCTTCCCTGCCACTCTTCCCTCATCCTGAGTTCTGCCTGATGTTTGTTTGTTTGTGGGTCTCTGCATCTGCTCCCATCAGTAGCTGAAGGAAACCTCTCTGATGATTGGGTTAGACTCCAGTTTACGAGTATAACAGAAAAGCATTAAGAATCATTTCATTGACTTGTTTTTCTTTTTTTGCCAGTCATGTTAGGGTCTATCCTAGGTCTCTGGGCTGTCCAGCCTTGGTTCCTGGCCATCCGGGCAGTGTCATGGTCTCCCTCTCCTGGTGTGGGCCTCAAGTTGAAGCAGTCGTTGGTGGGGACTCCCATAAGTTCTGCACCACTATCACCCCAAGCGCATCTTATAGGCAGGACACATTGTAGTTGGAAGGTTTTGTGGCTGGGCTGGTGTCCCAATCCCACCACTTGTCTGGTTACAGAAGATGACCAGTTCAGGCTCTGCATTCCCCATTACTAGGAGTCTTCACTAGGGTCACCCTCGTAGAGTCCAGGAAGTTTTCACTGCACTAGTTTTCCACACTACTCCCAAGATACCTCCCAAAACCAGTCTTCTCTCTCAGTACTCTCTCTCTCCATATCCCTCCCACCTGATCCCTCCGGTTCCCATCTCTGCCCACTCCCAGTTCACCTGCAAAATCTCTTCTATTTCCCCTTCCCAGGGAGATACAAGTGTCCTTCCTTAAACCCTCCTTTGTTACGTGACCTCTCTGGTTCTGTGGATTGTATCATGATTATCCTTTATGTAACAGCTAATATCCACTTATGAGTGAGTACATACTGTTTGTCTTTCTGGGTCTGGGTTACCTCACTAAGGATGATCTTTTCTAGTTCCATCCATTTGCCTGCAAATTTCATGATGTCATGTTTTTAATAGCTGAGTAATATTCCATTGTATAAATGTTTGGAAATAAATTACAGTGTTTTGGCCACATTGCCTCTTTCCTCAATGGTCAGCTACTTACTACCTTATGGTCCTAACTTCATTAGGTTCTCTCTTTAAGGACATATCCACTTTCACACTGATGGTGTACTGGACTTACAAGTCATTGACCACCCACCCCTCCATTCTATCCCTGTCACTACTAGGTATCACTTTGCCTCAGACCTCGGGTTCTGCAGCAGATAGCTGATCTGTGCACTCAACTCCAGTTCTTAGGTGATCTCTGCTGTGATCCCAGTTCCCTGCTCTATCGCTCCCTTTTCTTCAAGCCCAGTGATCTGGCCGTTAACCTTCTCATGGCCTCACTTCTCACCCCTTTCTTTTCTCAGACTTCCCAGCTGCTTCTAGTTATTTTTAAATCCAGCCAAAACCTCTAGGACAGTGGCTCTTTAATGTTTGGATTCACTGTATCTTCTTCTCCCATGAGGTTCTGAGCTTGAGAATCCCAGGAGAACATGGTCATTTTCTCTTATTCCCAAACCACTCTCCTATCCTGTACATTTTAGGTCCTCAAATAAGTAGAATCCACTACTATTTTGTACTTCTGGAAGTACAGTCCTTAAACTCACAGAGATCCGCCTGTCTCTGCCTCCTGAGTGATGAGATTAAAGGTGTGTGCAGCCACTGCCCAGCAAAAACCTAAATCTTTTGTCTGCTTTGGTGTAAAGGACATGTTTGCATTTAGCACTTGGCCATCTCCCCGCCCCCCTTGTTTCTCATAAGTTAGTTTCATTGCTAGAGGAAAATGCTTTGGTTGTGTCTAGATCTCTAACTCAGCCTGCAAATCTGGCCCTGTGCCTGGTCTCTGTTCTGCAGTAGCCGCCTGGCTTGACTCTTCCTAGTTCCCAGCCACCCAGGCAGTTTTCTTCTGTGTCTCTGTTTATCTAGTCCATGGATCATGTGTTTATTCTTATACTCATGAGAACAATAGACATACTGTGCCTGCCCTTTGCACTCTCCCGCTCTTGCTTTGTATTACTTGATAATTATGTGCTAGTGTTTTCCTTAAGGAGCAGAGTTTAGATTGAAGCCAGTTACTGCTGATAGGAGACATGATAAACATGTGGGCGTTATGCACTGTTTTCTCCACGTCGAGATGCTTGAGTTCTCAAGTGATGCTGAACAGGCTCTTGGCATATTGAAATCATTCTTACAAGAAATCAAATTATTGCTTGATTAAAGCTAAGGTGAAAAAATGGTTTTGCACCACTTAGAAAGTTTGAAAGAAGTGTAGCACTAAAACAATCTTTGCATGTCTTTGATGGAAATGATTTGGTATCAAGATGAGTGCAAACGGATGAGAAGGAAAGCCCAGTCCTCCCGAAAGCAAACCCTTCTCACATAGGAAGATTTTAGACGATTTGAAAAGCCGATAATGATTCCGTCTTCTTTTCATACCAGACCATATGGCTAAGAACTATTTTCAAAAAGGACACCATGGAATATCGCCTTGTCTGTCTCCTACATCCATCTCTAAACTCCTAGGGCATCAGTTCTCGGCCTGTGGGTTATGATGCCCTTGAGTGTTGAACATTCCTAAGACCATCAGAAAACATTACATTATGGTTCATAGCAGTAGCAAAATTATAGTTATGATGTAGGAGTGAAAATAATTTTATGGTTGTGTGTCACATGAGGAACTATATTAAAAAGGGTTGCAGCATTAAGAAAGTTGAGACATAGGGAGTAGGTACTATGAGCCTGCATGTTTAATGTTTAGTACCTACACAACTTCAAAGTACTTGTGCACTTACAGATAGATCTATTTCTTGAATTGAGTATGGTGAAGTGTGAAGTAACACAGGTGAATGTTAGGGAAAGAAGGCATTCATCATACTTGCCTGCCTAAAAGTATATTTCATGTTGGGTTTTGAAGCTAAAAAGGATACATGCACAAAGAGATGATGGGGGTGTTCCAGGAATATCCCTGGAAGCAGAATCTTCTAGATTGAAAAACTTAATTTCTAAAGATCAATTCATGGTAAACAATCCCCACCCCCTTGTGCTTTCTAAGTTTTTCTAATGCCATTGATGACATTTATAACAACCTCAGAAGCCATTAAGTTATGCCACTACCATCCCTTCTTTGGGATTGATGCTAGACTGTTTAGAGGGTGATGTAAACAAGGGGCATAACCATACTATTTACCTGGAATTATTCTAATTGTCCAGAAAGGTCAGCATTCTCTCTTGTTGCAAGTCTTTTGAACCCTGTTTTTCTCTGGGTAAATATGAGCTTGGTGCTTCTGGTATATGTGTTTTATGGTGTTGGTTAGGTCTAGACTTTTCAGTTTGTAACAAAAAACTGATCTCCAAAATCTGCGTTCTCTTCTAAAGGGCAAGTTTTCCCTTGTCACCAATACCATGGGCCTAACCCTGCAGTGGGGTTAGGCGCTATTGTCTGCATAATCTAAATGTTGGACTTCAAGAGATTACAGATTTTAGAGTCTTTATCAATGTGCATATCTATCATAGAGGGGATTGTGCTAAGGGCCGAGGGGCATACAGGCAAAACAATATGATGTGTAGCTCACCTTGCTGGAACGTCTGAGCTAGCAAGGCACCAACGAACCACAAATCCATGGCCCTCTGGCTCTATATCTGGTGCTGGAACCCTCCTGTCCTCATCTCTGTCCCTGTTGTAGAGGATGGTGGGATCTCTTCCCAGCCCCCAGAGCATGATCCCCTCTCTTGACCATCTTACTTTGTTTATAACTTCTGGGTTGTGAGCACTTTCTAGAAAATGCTCCCTCACTTGGGTTTCAGCTAGATATTTGTACTTTTATTTTAACTCAAGGGTGTCACACTCTCTTGAAAATGATGTTTATATTGTACATGTACTGGAATAGAGGAGCTTTGCCATAGGCTGAGTCTTGGTTTAGATCATAGAAGTGGTGCTGGACTCCGAGGACGTAGAGGAGTTTACGTCCAATGATTTGAAAAGGGGACAGGCTATGAGTGGTTCTGAGGCCCAAGGATCTCAATGTGGAAGCCTGGAAAAGGTGCAACTCTTGCAAGTCTTGCTCAATGCCCTCTGCACAGCCACAAAATCGCTGTTCAAGAAGCTTCGATGGGTGGATGGAATAGAATTTACTGAAAGAGATCTAAATAAATGACTAGGTTATGGTGACTAGGTCCTGGAGACAACTGTGCCCTGTTGGTATCAAAAGATGATAAAGGAGCTGGGTGGTGGTGGCGCACACCTTTAATCCCAGCACTCGGGAGGCAGAGGCAGGCGAATCTCTGGGAGTTCGAGGCCAGCCTGGTCTACAAGAGCTAGTTCCAGGACAGGAACCAAAAGGCTACGGAGAAACCCTGAAATTCTGACACTCATGAGTTGGAGGAGGAGGATCAATAGTTCAAGGCCAGTCTGATACATGAGATTCAATCTCAAAAAAGAAAAAAACAACCAAAAAAAACGAAGCTAAAACAAACAAAAAAGTTAGATTGTTAGTGTCTTAGTTAAGGTGTCTATTGTTGTGCAGAGACACATATATATGAGACCTCAAAGCCCACCTCCACAGTGATGCACTCCTTCCAACAAGGCCACACTTACTCCAACATGACCACACCTCCTAAAGTGTCACTCCCTTTGGGGACCATTTTCTTTCAAACAACCACACTGGGCATCTAAAATCCCAACTGGGTTTTGAATCCTTGTGGGTAGCATCTATTATTCCTTCTGACTTTGAACTCCATGCTAAATTAGTAAATTGTCACATTGCTAGCCCCCTGAAAGAATGGGTTACTTGGGCTGGGCATGTAGCTGAAAAGGTAGAGCATTTGACTAGTACATATAGGTCTGTGGGTTCCATCCCCAGCACCACAAAGGGAAAAAAAGGAAAGAGCTTCTATTGTCTCGCATCATGATGCCATACCTGTCTGCCCCCATTTCTTACTTTCCGTTCTGCTGTTTCTAGGACTGCATCGATGTAGGCTGGTGGGAAGGAGAGCTCAATGGCAGACAAGGAGTGTTCCCTGATAACTTTGTGAAGTTACTTCCACCGGACTTTGACAAGGAAGGGAATGTAAGTCTCCCTGGCTTTGATCTCAGTGTCTCCCATTCTGTCAGAATTGTGGCTTCCATGATGAGACTTGGGAGGTAGAGATCTTTTGGTATAAAACAAAAGAGTACTGACATTGGAATGTTTAATGGGCTTGGCTTCTGAGCCCATGGTTGCCATAGGACAAACCCATTATTCACTGTTTACCAGCTGGTAAAAATTATCCAGGGTTTAATGTATATAGAGCACTTAATACAGTACCTGCACATTGGAATTCCCGGGGAAATTGTCAGAACCCTGGGAACTCTATATGGTAAGTACACACCTCATGTTTTGCATAGCACAGTCCTTGGGGGTGCAGAAGTAGCCAGTATTGAAAGCTGCTGAAAATCACATTTTGAGACTAAGAATGGAAGACACGGCCTGCTAATTTCTACTATATTTGCGTATGTGTATACATATACTTAAATGCGTATTTATAAACATCCAGGTTGTCTCTTTCTCTGCGGGGACTGGTTTGATGGCAATGCTGTTCAGATGACCCATTCTGTTTGCCTCACTCCTTGTGTATTGTTTCTCTGCTAAAGATGTAACACAAATGGTGAAAACTGGAAGTTCTTTACAGTATAAAGGTTCAGCTGTTTGATCTCATTTATTCGTCCTGTTCTTTACCTCGCAGCCCTTTCCTGAGGCATTTGTCTGACTTCTGCCAACCTTTTCTGGCATGGGGCCTCTTTGGGCCCAGGGAGGGTTCTGCTCTTGGATCAGGCTAAGCCTGGCTGTATTATTTACTTTTCTAGTTGTTGTAGTGAAGGATCTGACAAATGCATCTTCTGAAAGGAAGTGTTTGTTTTGGCTTACAGCTCAAGATTACAGGCCATCATAGTGGAAAATCATGGCAATGAAAGACTGGGACAGCTAGTCAAATTATAGCAAGTCAGGAACCAGAGGGGGAAACTCCCTAATAGACATGCCTAGAATTTTGTCTCCTAAATGATTCTAGATCTTGTCAAATTGACAATTTTTAACCATCACAGTGACTTTGTTATATCGCCAGAGCTAATATACAGGAAGGATAGCTACAGTGTTAGTAGATTGTCAAACTACCATTTAATGGTACATGTGCTGTTTAGAAGAATATGTATATTTGTTTTAAAAGCCAGCATCTCTAACAAACTCCCAGGTGATGTTGACACTTTGAGCATCAAGGTTCCAAAAATCCGGAGGAAGCAGAATTTAAATTCTCCAGAGCTCTGGTTCTAATACCTAGAGAGAATAACAGGTATAGAACATAACACATTCTCAACGTAAACATTCCAAGATTGTAAGCTATTAAAATATATTAAAAGTATGGCCTTGGGTTGGGCGGTGGTGGCTCATGCCTTTAATCCCAGTATTTGGGAGGCAGAGACAGGCAGATCTTAGTGAGTTCGAGGCCAGCCTGGTCTACAAAGCAAGTTCCAGGATAGCCAGGACTGTAACACAGAGAAACCCTGTCTCAAAAACAAAAACAAAACATAGAAAAAAGTATGGCCTTGAACTGAAAACTCATTTTATGATCTAATGGCATAATGTTGGGAGATGCCTCAAAGTGTGTCTAGTAGTGGGTAAATTGTCCTGTATATATTAACCATTCTAGCTGTTACAATTACTATCTGCAAGGGTGGGGGAAAACTAGCCACAAGTATGAAGTAATGCTAAACTCTGGTTCATTTTGCTTCAGCTGACCAAATCAACCCATTATGTTGATATCTTGATTAATTTCCCAAGGAATCCAAATGAGGCTAAGAATTTTGTTGAATAGCCATCTAAAAGATACCCAGTGATATGTAAAATACATTTATAGAAATAACCAAACAAAGAATGACACAATCTTCATGTTGTGGTCCTCTGCCTTTAAATTCCTGGTCTTACTTTGCTGTGACCATGAATTCACACAATCTTCATGTTATTTCTCATATTTTTTCCTGGATCTGTTGCCTGACAACTATGTTTGATTTTTTAGTCATTCCCTTAGTATTTTGGAGAACTTTTTCCAGGGCTGGTCATGGTAGATAAATAAAGTACGCAGTTTCTGCCCTTGTTGACTCAGAGCTGAGCAGAAAGGCTGGCATTCAAGGCTTTCTGAAGGATCCTCAGTATGCTGGGCCTGAGAGAGTGGGAAAAGGGCCATCCACATGGCTTGAGGCATACTTCTGGACTGGTCTTTGTGAGTCTGGAAAATCCTTGGTTGTGATTCTCCTCCTTTGGCCTTTCTGCTAGGTGTTGTTTTATTATGGTTCTGATTGAGACAGTATGATTTACTTGGAAAAAGAAAACTGGAAGATCAAATTGCAGGTAATTGCCATGAAACATGATTTTTGGAAGTTGCCACAGACTTCGCATCCACGGCTGAACCAACCATGGACTGAAAATGGTTTTGTAAAAATGTGTCTGTGTTGAACACACAGATACTTAAAAATTATTCCCTGACAATACAGTGGCAGCTACTTATAAGTAATCTAAAGGTGATTTTGTGCAAACGGGAGGAAAGACTCAGGTTGTGTGCAAGCCGTATACCATTAAATAAAGGATTTGATCATAGTATCAGTGAGTTTTGATGTCCATAGGGGATCATGTCACAAATCAATCACAGATTCCAAGAGGTTACTGTGTATTTACATCATGGAAAGACTAAATCTACCTAATCAACATACGCCTTCCTTCATATAGTTGTCATTTTTATGGTGACGGGGGCATGATTTCGAAGTCTGGGGTAAACACTAGACCATTTTTCAAATGAATGGGCAAACCCCAGAGTTACCTCCGTTGTGGCCCTCTGCCTTTAAATTCCTGGTCTTATTTTGCTGTGGCCACGAATTCACTCATGCAAGAATGTACTGTTTTAGAAGCTCTTTGTTATATAAGGCATCAAGAGAAGTACTTCTTCAGGAAAGTGAAGTTGTTAGTACCGAGGGGACATGGTGTGGCTTATTTGTTGGGACATGCATATTTTGTGGAGCCCCATGGGCATCTCTGCAACCCCAGACAGGCAGCCATCATTTCTTTTTGAAACTTCATCCTTATGAAGTAGAAAGCTCAATTTTAGGGAAACAATGGTCATACCTATCAAATATAGTTATGCCTAGCTGAGAAGTGCTTGTCTAATTTAGGTTTTTGAAGTTTCCATTAGAGCTTCCCCTTTCATCCTGCTGGCCTTTATTGCTTTGAATCTATTGCTATGCCAGGCTTTATTGCTATACCTAGAATTTTGGTGAGTCAGTGACAATGTGGTGGAGCCAGGAGCTGCCATTTGCCGAGGTGACAGTATGACAATGATCAGAATCATTAACATGAAGACACTGTGTGGGCGATGGCGTCTGAAACATTCTGCTACCAGTCTCGGCAGATGTCATCTTGTCTTGCCAGTGATCGGGGTTGCAGTCATTCACCCAGAAAAGAGGGCATTCTGCAATGATCATAATAGACAGAAGCAAATGGCATTTCTTCCACAGCAAGCTTCTTGACTCAGCAGGCATCACCCGAGCATGCTGGGGAGACTGGCATATTTTCTGCCAGGAAATGGACTCAGGAGAGTAACCATCAGACCTTTTGCAATTCCTGGTGGACTTTCTTCCTGAGACGGCTCAGTGGATTCTCTCTCCAGTATGACAAATGCTCTGTGGCTTTTCCTCAAGGTTTTCCAGGGGCGAGTTCTCATTGATCTTGTGGTGCATATTTTAAAGCAATTATGTAAGCTATTTATGAGAGAGCCTAGATTCAGTCACTGCTTATTTTGAGCCTTGACAGTACAATTGCACATCAGAATGGAAAGATGAAATATTCGGAGAGCTCTACTAAAGCAAGGCGCATGTGCTACCATTTTTGGCCAGGTGTAACAGGGAAAAAGGGCTGGTGTTGAGACTAGCAGGAACAGTGTCTTGATGCCATTAGAAAGAGGTAACCATTAGAATAAGTCTTTGGAAAGATAATGCTTTCGAATGGTAGTGATTCAGGAATGTCCCAGGCTGTGAACCTCCTAAGAGGAGCAGGCAGATCACCAGAAGCTACATGACACCCCAGTGCATGTCTGCTGAATGGGCCCTTTGAAGTTGGTGCCATTGTACCAAATCAGACACCTCTAAGACTCCCCTTGGGGTCTTAGAGGAACACCACAGTGTTCCTTAGGGGGAACACTCACCTCTCAGTCACAAGGCCTCAGAAAACTGCCCTGAAGATGTCTGTCTCTGCCACTGTGATTCGGGCTCACTTTTCCTACTTCCAGACTTACGCATGCAGCAGGCTGCCAGCTTACTAATTGCAATAGGAACTGAGAGATGTTAGCCAGTTTTGAAGATAAGGGTCTGCCTACCCCGGGCATTTGCCCCCAACCCTGTGGGTCTAAGTACTTAGGGCCTAGGTTACATAAAATCTCCAGATTTATCTGGGAAGGCAAAGAGCCCATGTGAGAAGAGTTAGCTCTTGTTAGAAAAAGCCTGGCAGGTATGGCTTGAGGCCCTCTCCACACATGGAAGGAGAAGGCTTGCCAAGGGAGCCATATGCTGAGTTCAGCTAAACCCAGACAGTTGTTGCAAGAGTATTGTCCTATTGGCTTTGGCAGCTCTTTTTTTTTTTTGTCATGTTCACCACTGACCAGGGCCCGGGATTGCAGTTAATTGGCAGAGTGCTTGCCAAGAACCGAGAGTCCTAGATTTGATCCCTGACACTGCATAGTCAGGGTGTGGTGCTGCACACCTTTGTGTTCAGCTAGGGTTTCTATTGCTGTGAAGAGGCAACACTTAATTGGGGAAAGTGTTGGAGGTGGAGGCTTACAATTCAGAGGTTCATTCCAGTATCATCATGACAGGGGGCATGGTGGCATGCAAGCAGACAGGGTGCTGGCCAACAGGAAGCTGACTGGAATACTGGGTGGTATCTCAAGCATAGGAAACCTCAAAGCCCGCCCCCACAGTAACACACTTCCTCCAACAAGGCCATACCTACTTCATCAAAGCCATACCTCCTAATAGTGCCACTTCCAATTA